GATTAAATCAACGAAACTATAGTTATGTGAATCTCAAAAAGTCTCAAAAAACTTCGGAAAGAAGCCGCATTCTGTTTCAGAAATTCTCAAACAAAAAAGAAAATACAAAACATTTCAAGAATTTTTTTAAATTTTTAAAAAACTGATTTCAAACTTTTCTTTTAGTTTTATAAATTACTCAAACATTTTCATAAACCGGGGAATTTTGTCGAAAATCTTAAGTAGAACTCAAATGTCATCAAAATTTTCATGAAATGAAAGCCGTGTTCGTTAAAAGTATCTCAAAACAAAAAAAAATTAATTAACCGATTTTTACACGAATTCATTATAAATACCTGAAAATACTGAAAACTTCCCAGAATTGCGTAAAAATTAATTTCAACAAATTGCAAATTGTCTAAAATTAAAAAAAAAAACTGTTAAAATTCTTAAATATTTTGTGAAAATAAATGTAAACCCAATTTCATCTCCGGATTTTTTGAGAAAAATTGAAACTATTATTATTTTTGCGTTCAAAAAATAAAAATTTATTGTTAGAAACAATGTGATCATGTTTTGAGAATGAAATTTTGTTGTCTTTTTGAATTATCAGATTTTTTTTTAAAGTGGCAACTTATACGATTTTTTTTTTGAAAAGATATAAAAAATGTTTCTTGAAAAATATGATTGAGTAAAGATTTTAATATTTTGAATTCTTTGCCACATGGTAATAAAATTACCACATCTCGTAATTAATTAATTATTTTAAATCGTTTTTGATGTTACTGAAAATAATGTTTTTAGGAATTATTTCTACGTTTTTTTGAAAAAATCCATTTTATTTCTTGTAGAAATGCGAAAAACGTCATTTGATCGTCTTTTTCATTTTCAGTTTCTTCGATTTTTTTTAATTTTTGAAAATAGCGCTCAAAACGGCTGAAATTGTCATTTTTTCTCAAATTTCGTCAAAATAAATGAAATTTTTGTATTTTCTGTCTGTATTTAAATCACTACAAATTCAGTTTCCTACGTTTGATAATTTTTAAAACTTTGCAGAATTGCCTAAAAATAAATACCAACAAATTGCAAAAACTGTTAAAATCTAAATTTTTCTGTGAAAATAAATGCAAATCCAATTCAATCGCCGGATTTTTGAGAAAAATTGAAACTATTATCATTTTTGCCTTCAGAAAATAATAATTAATAAAAATTGTGTTTTTTCAAAATGTCAACTACGAAATTTTTTTCGAAAAGATACAACATATATCTTTTGGGAAATATGATTAAGTAAAGATTTCGTTTATTTTGACAAATTTCTATCATTTTGAATTTCTCTCCAGATCGTGAAAAAATTACTAAATTTCGTAGCTAAGTCGCTTTTGGGTAATTGAAAATATTTTTTAATAAAAAAAAAATAATCAAAATCCTTTGTTAAAAAAAGGTTTTATAGTGGGTTGCCATTAAAAAATTTGCAGAACCCAAAAAAAAATCGATTTCTTTATTATTACTCTTGAGAAACGTCATTTTTATTTTCTTTTTATCATTCACTAATTAGTTTTTTTCTGGTATAATAATAATGTCATGAAATCCGGGATGCTGAAGACAACCTACTTTTCATTCAATCTAGTCGGCGTTAGCAGGAAGTTGTTGGATTTCAATGGGTGTTAAAACACGCTTTTAAAACACAATAGTGCAGTGAAAACTATAAATTAGCACACTTTCTTTGTCTATTACTAAATAAATTGTAACACTATTATGTGGGAATTTTGTTACAAATTTGTGATAATTCTCGTCCCAATTTTGATAAAAATGAAATATCACACTCAAATACCCGAAAAATTGGGCTCTTTAATACCAAATTTTGAAGGTTTTCCCCCAATTAACCGACATTTTTATCAATTTTTTTTGCATTTCGATGAAAATTTATGGATTTGCGAAATTTCAAAAATTCGCCAAGTTAAGAAAATCAGGCCATGACTGGCAAAAACCCAGCTTTTGTTGAATTTTTTCCACGTAGCTAATTGATTTGCTTACATTGTGGTAACTTGCATAATCATTTACCTACGCTGCTTCTTCATAAGGCAGCTACAAGAAAAAACGGTCATTGTATCAAACATCCTACTATTCAAACTTTCCAAATTGAAATCGAAATCTTTACGTAACACAATCTTTCATCTTTCTTTCAACCCCAAAGAAAAGATAAATTATTTTCAACGGGTTGGAAACGAAATTTAGGGGTTGCAAACCCAATGTAATTAGAATTCTTCAACAAATCAGTCCACTGAAACGCTGAAATTTTATTTCTTTCAGCAGATTTTACACAGGACATCTCTCGGTTAATTGTTATTAATTCCACTCTATTTTTTTGCCTACTACTTGGTATTGATTTTTTTTTCAAAAAAGGCGTACTAAAGGAGCAGAGAAAAATATTTATAAATATTTTTTAAATATATTCTGTATCTGACATTTGACCTTCTTGGTCTTAATTATTCAATAATTTTCCAACAGGAATAAGTAGGATCAAAGTACAAAATTTTCATAGAATTTTTTAACCTTTTTTTTGGTTCGCGACTTTTCGGATACCCTGTATATTAAAATTTGATAAAGTAGGTTAAGTCTGGGAGAGATGAAGCACATTTGGAAAAACCTTGAAAAAATTGTAACTTGAAACATTACATTTTGCTATAAAAAATAGAATTCTAGAAGGTTCATGTCTCCCGGATTTAATTAACCCTTCGGAAATTTGTATAAAAGTATACAGGGTGTCTCAAAATTAATTACAAAATAAACTAATTTTTTTTGCATTTTTCGCCGGATATGTTTTTAAATTAAACTTTATTGATTTTTTTGATAAAAACAGTTTTTTTTCTAATCCAATACATAAAATTGTGAGTTTTTGACAGTTTTGGCTTTACGACGTTTCTTGCGTGATTCTAAAAATTGATTTTGATAACTTTTGCAGTCAACAATGTCTATGAAAATGGCACAAATTTGATGAGAGACCTTGTATTTTTAATCTAAATTGTGAAATTATTGATTTTACAAATTTTCGATCAAAGTGGTGACGATTTTGAACTTAAGTTGGCAGCAATTGACACTAGACTTGTCAAACTCTTCATTTAGTGTTGCCAACTTAACTTTAAATAATGGATCTCTTTGTTTATTTGGATTGAAAGTATACACGGTGTGCCAGAACTCGCGCCCAAGAGAAAAATTCTGTATAAGGTAAGATACCAGGAACATGGAAAAAATATTAATAAAAAATTATCTATAAAAATTTCGAAGTTACGAGAGTTTAATTTTTGAAATTTGACTCTATTTATTCCTGTTGGAAAAATATTTTTTTAAGTTTTTTTGCTACAGGCTATTAGAAGAGGAAACAAGGAAGCTATATCCTACTGTAACACTGTTCAATGTTATTTGTGGCTTTTAAATAATTGTAAAAAAACATATACAAGATCATCAGTATCATTAAATAGACATAAAAAAATGACAAATGTCAAAAAATAAATGTCAATTTTTTTTTGACAGATAGAGTTTTTTCATGTTCGCGGTATCTTATCTTCCATAAAATTTTTCTCTGGGCGCGGGTTCTGGCGCACCCTGTATATCTCCGTAACGTTAGCCACAAATTGTGGTACCGTCAGCCCGATTAGTCCCAGATGATGGTGCTTTTTTTCCGAAACTTTGTAACGAATCGCTGGAAGTGTTTGAACTTGATTGCAAAAATAGATATTTCTGAATTGTCGAGGCGATAGCCGAGCAATGAAAAATAAGACTTAAGTGCCGAAATGGACTATATTTGGAAGTGGTTGTCATGACAGTTTACTCCAGTGTTGTCAGATTTCTCGTCCACGAAACATAAATAATTGTTATAGAATTAAAAACGAAAATGTCAAAAGACCGAAATGTAGTATAAAGAACTATTTTAGTGACGATTTCGGGAAAAAGATATATAGTGGTGACTTTTCTTAGCTGATTGTTATGACAGATTACTCCAGTGTTGTCAGATTTCTCGTCGTCGAAACAGGAAAAATTGTTATGGAATTAAAAACGAAAATGTAGTATAATGAACTATTTTAGTGACGATTTCGGGAAAAAGATATATAGTGTTGACTTTTCTTGGCTGATTGTTTTGACAGCTTACTCCAGTGTTGTCAGATTTCTCGTCCACGAAACAGGAAAAATTGTAGAATTAAAAACGAAAATGTCATCAGACCGAAATGTAGTATTATGAACTATTTTAGTGACGATTTCGGGAAAAAGATATATAGTGTTGACTTTTCTTGGCTGATTGTTATGACAGCTTACTCCAGTGTTGTCAGATTTCTCGTCCACGAAACAGGAAAAATTGTTATGGAATTAAAAACGAAAATGTAGTATAATGAACTATTTTAGTGACGATTTCGGGAAAANGTCAGATTTCTCGTCCACGAAACAGGAAAAATTGTTATGGAATTAAAAACGAAAATGTAGTATAATGAACTATTTTAGTGACGATTTCGGGAAAAGATATATAGTGGTGACTTTTCTTAGCTGATTGTTATGACAGTTTACTCCAGTGTTGTCAGATTTCTCGTCCACGAAACAGGAAAAATTGTTATGGAATGAAAAACGAAAATGTAGTATAATGAACAATTTTAGTGCCGATTTTGGGAAAAAGATATATAGTGGTGACTTTTCTTGGCGCATCCACCAGAAGTAATAATTCAATGAAAATTCGTATTTTGTTGGCAACGCTTCAGGTCTCCTGTTATTGATCAGACGGCGTCTGACTCGTTGCCTGGCAACATCCTCCTCATCTCTAGTTTTTTTCTCCAAGTCCTTGTTTCATCTCTCTCTTCAACTCGAAATGTTGTTTGTTTACAACTAGTTTTAAAATTAGAAATTTTCGAAGGGAGGGTCTGGAGCAGTGCCAAGAGTTCGTTGACCTATTTTTTGGGGTCATTTTTCCCACTAAAAATCACAACTCGCTTCATTAAAACATTACACAAGTGATAATTTTCGTCTTTTTATTTCAGGTAGAGAGGCTAGGTCGTATTTCGTAACGTGAAACCGCTCTAATGGACACAAACTACAAACCGTTCAAACGATTCGAAACTGAGATTATTTGACTTTTAGAGACGTAAGTATTAGAGGGGAGGGCAAAAAACGCATGCCTTGAGGCATCGACTACCAAAACCCAATTCCGATGCAAATTTTTAATTTGTTTTGCGTCTGGGATGGACACGACTGAAATATTATGCTCGAGAGAACCAAAAAAAAAAAACAGAATGAAATTTGTTAGGGTATTAATTTAATCGCGGCTTTTTGTCTCGTGTCTGGGTGTGTGGATCGGCATTTTCGTGTTTTGAATGAAGTGTTTCAGGTTTCAGGTGACGGTAGGTCAGGGTTCCTAATTAATTTCAACATTTTACTCACTGCAAAATTTTCTTATTTAAAAAAAAATCTTGACAAATAAGAAGTTTCATTCTGTTGACATTATAAGTGTAAAATGGCCCTTAGATAATAACCTCATTTTTAATATTTTGACGTTTCGAAGAAATTGTAAAGTCAATTTGACGCTAAAGTCTGCTTTATAGTGAATTTTTCCAAAAATTTTTAAAATTCCAGGTCAGGGTTAAGAATCATTCACAATCTTTCTAATCGCTTAAAAAATTTGTGAAATTTCAAATTTGTTGCCAACATGACGATAAAAATCCATTTTTTTTATTTTCTTACTAAAAAAATAGTAAAAAACTAGTTTAAATAGTTTTTTTTGTTACAAGTATCTAAAATACAGTTTTTGCGGACGAATCGATTTTTATTAGTTTCAAAAGTAGCAAGAAGCAATACAAATAAGATTATTCTAGGTTGCCAACTTAATTTCGAACTTTGATGGCAAATTTGACAAAAAATAGGACAGTAAAGTCATTCTGTTGACATTATAAATGTAAAATGGCCTTTAGATAGTAACCTCACTTTCCACTTAATGTCACTGTTCCCGTCATTTTGACGTTTTAAAAAATCACATTTGTCATTAAAGCTCGCTTTACATTTGATTTTCAAAAATTTTGATAACGCAGGTCAGGTCAAGAATTGTTGATAATCTTTCTAATCGCTTAAAAAATGTGATTTTTAATTGTAGTAATCAAAGGTGCCAAATTATAATTTCATATTTGTAGCCAACATGACAAAAATTTAAAAAATGACTTTATTTGAGAAAAAAATTCTTTGTCAAATTGGGCTCAAAAATAGCAAAAAATCCAGTTTTTGATGACAAATTTTATTCTGTTGACATTATAAGTGTAAAATGGCCTTTAATGTTTTGACGTTTCGAAGATCTTGAAAAGTCAATTTGGCGTTAAAGCCTGCTTTACAGTGAATTTTTCCAAAAATTTTCAAAATTCCATATGAGGATTAAGAATCAGTCACAATCTTCTTAATCGCTTAAAAAATTTGTGAAATTTCAAATTTGTTGCCAACATGACGATAAAAATCCATTTTTTTTATTTTCTTACTAAAAAAAAATAGTAAAAAACTAGTTTAAATAGTTTTTTTTTGTTACAAGTATCTAAAATACAGTTTTTGCGGACGAATCGATTTTTATTAGTTTGAAAAGTAGCAAAAAGCAATACAAATAAGACTATTCAAGGTTGTCAAATTAATTTCGAACTTTGATGGCAAATTTGTTAATTATTATTACACAAAAAAGTAGGACAATAAAGTCATTCTGTTGACATTATAAATGTAAAACGGCCTTTAGATAATTAAAGTTCATTATTTATTAGAAGATTTGATACAACTTGGTCCATTTTGAGACTCTAGGGGAGTTTCTAGTTACCACAATTGGGTCAAATTTCACTAAAATGTTACTAAACACCCAATAAAGCTCCCAGAAAAGTTTGATTAAAATATCTCAAGGCTTTCTTGATTTAAACGAGGTGTTAAGTGTTAAAATCACTTTTAGTCAATTTTGAGGTATTCAAAGAGCTGTAGAAAAGCTTCTAGCCGACAGAAATTATTCAAATTTGGCTCAAATCTTCTCAAATAGTTGATAAACCCGTCGAAAAAATTTCATCACAATATTCCAAAGGCTACACGAGTTAAATATTAATTTTTTTCGTTTTTTTTATTACTTATCAAAGTTAAAATTTAATTATTCTTAAAATCACAGATTATTTTGGAGTAAGTGGGAAAATTATCATCTGATAATTTTTTAGTTGGAATGATCAAAAGGAAAGTCAAGTGATTTTGTTATTGTAACTAAAATCGAATAAAAGTTATTTTTCATTTAAGAATTTTTTTTTAATATTCTAGAATGAGTTTTCACTTATTTAATTTATTATGTTCTGTCTTAGATTTTAACAGAACTTAATTAAGATTAAGTACAGAGTGACACAGCAAACCGTTTTTTAAATAACTTTCAAAGTTTTCAATTATTTGAAGATTTCTAAACTACATTTTTGCCTAAAAAAATATTTTATTTTTTACAATATTTTTATTTCATTTTGAGCGAAAGTGATTCCTCGCTTCTTCCATTGCCTCAGATTGAAATTAGTTAAAAAATATTTTGAATATAACTCCATTGTCCTTAAAACTACACAATAAAATTACATATCTTTATATTGTTTTATTTTGTTTTATTTTTTTACTTTTATTTTATTTTTTGTTTTATATTGTTGACGATTTTTCGGTTTGTTTTCAAAATTCTTAAAAATAACAGTTTTTGGATTTTTAGTTATAGTAGAAAACCTAGAAGAAGCAAAATCTCAACAATTCTAAATTGAAAATGTCATTTACAAACTTTTTTGCCTCTCGCAAAATAATCATTTAAAATACAATTTAAAAAACTAAAGTCTATTAATTATAATTTGACGAAATTAGTAAAAAAATGGCTTATTATTACATTCTTTGATTATTTATAGTCTTAAAGAATGCATTTTGTTCTGCTTTTTGAAAAATTAAAGTTCATTATTTATTAGAAGATTTGAATACAACTTGGTCAATTTTGGACTCTAGGGGAGTTTCTAGTCACCACAATTGGGTCAAATGTCACTAAAATGTTACTAAACACCAAATAAAGCTCCCAGAAAAGTTTCATTAAAATATCTCAAGGATTTCTTGATTTAAACGAGGTGTTAAGTGTTAAAATCACATTTAGTCAATTTTGAGATATTCAAAGAGCTGTAGAAAAGCTTCTAGCCGAAAGAAATTATTCAAATTTGGCTCAAATCTTCTCAAATAGTTGATAAACCCGTTGAAAAAATTTCATCACAATATTCCAAAGCCTACTCGAGTTATTTAACACGGTGCTAAGTGCTAGACTTGACTTGACATTTTTTGAAATTACATTTGACCATAACGGCTCAAATATCAATTGTGGTAAAAATCTGACTTCAGATTATCAAAGCTGGTGTAAAAATGTATAAGTGGTGAAAATTTTACATTAATATTGGTTGAAATAAACAAATTTGTCGTACTAAAACGCTCGAAAAAATAATTTTAGACTTACTTTCTTGATTGTTTAGTTTGTTTTAGCGAAATCTAGCGAAAAAGCTGCGATTTTAGAAAACGTAAGCATTTTCGGTCAAATTTTGTGGTTTCTCAGTTTACTTTGGACTTAATTTTGTTCAAAAACCAGTTAAATCGAGTAAAATAAACAAAATAACATCAATATCAATGTAATTTTTTGACGTGTTTGGACAAGATTTTGCAAAATAAATGAACCTCTGCTTCAATTTCGATTTAATTTTGCAATTTTTTAGCCTGTTTCAACGCAATATTTCCAACTTTTTGTGTTTTTATCGCTCAAAAATATGCTTAAACACTCGAAAAAAGCCAAAAAACGCCGATTTTGTATCCTCAAAAAAAACATAAATTCTCATTTTCGACCCTGTTTAGTAATATCTCGTAAAAAACAAATAGAACTATTTTCAACAAATTTGGTGGTTTTCGATTATTTTTTTATCAAGTTACAGCCTAAGAGTTAGGTAAAAATATCATAATATAATCAATTTAGTGATTTTTGTCACGCTATGCCAAACTCTCGTCAAAAAACCATTTTGGGCTAAAAAATCTGCTTGAACATTCGAAAAAGAAAACAATTATTGACTTGGCATTTTTTGAAATTACATAACGGCTCAAATACCAACTGTAGTAAAAATCTGTCTCCAGATTATTTTCTGAGTCCCCAAGATTCTTAGAATCCGTGGTAAATAATTTATAGGGTAAGTCCGGGCGAGAAATTCCAAAGTCTTTCTCTCCTCCCGACTTGACCCTACAAGTATGAAAATTCGCCCGGAGCGGGGTCGTCGTCTGTCTGGTCATGAGAAACGACGAGCACGACAACAGCATTGTTTCGAATCCCAACAACAACAACAACAACAACAACAACCACTTTCGGTACAACCACCGGCAATAACTTTCAATTTCTCACTGAGATAAATAAAAATCGACTAGCCGGAATTAATTGGCGTTACGGTTAAACATTATTACGGGATCGGTCGTGACCACCGGACTCTGAGATAAATCAATTTTGTAGTAACCGGAGTCTAGGAGCAAAGCAAGCAAACTAACGGTATTTGAATCGCCGTCGTGTTCACATTTTCCATCACAGCAAATTTTAAATCATTGATTAATTAAAAGTCAAATTTGGCACCAAACTGGGTTTGAGATAAAATAGAGAAAACAATGTGTGTGTTACGGTTTTGTTTATCATTGTTTGATCATCAATTATAGTGTGGGCATGATTGTGACCTTTTAGACTTGAATCAAATGATTTTTCTAACGTTAGCGTTTCTTGATTTATTTTTTAGTTGTTGAAGTTAGAGAAAGTAATTCTGCTAATTCCATTAGTTGCGCTTGCGAAATTAGCAATTTTTTCAAATGAACCAATGTTATTAAATGACCACACTAGACAACATAATAGATTTGTGTAATCGTTGCACCTTACAAAACACACAAAATAGGTTGAATTGATTCAACTACAGATTAGTGCTCTTGAAATAATTGCAAAAAATCCTGATTTTTGGTGAAATAAAACTCCAATAAAAAATTTTGACTTGTTAGTTGTGATTTTTTTTCATTTTTTTTAACTCAAACCGAAATTAAGTACTTTATTTTTTTTGTCTCCTCTTAAATCAA